AGCCAGTTTTACTCACAAAACTATAATCATTAAAGCTCCAACAGAGAGTAACTGACCACATATGAGTGTGTGTGTGAACTGCCGTTAATAGAGCCGTGTATGAAAGCCAAAGCTACGCTTTCCACAGATGCAACTGTGAATGCTTAATTAGACAAGTGTAGAGATGTGCAGTCTCTTGGTTGCAGATGTGTTCAGCATGTGTGTGTGTGTGTGCGCGCCTGACATATTCATTGAGCTGTGATAAGACTCAGTCTTGCCGACTGGATATTGATCTGGCCGACCCTCCATCTGGACCCAAGAGCATATGTTTGCATGTCTTTGTGTGCACGCAGGCGGGCAGATTCATGTGTTCATCCCTCCATCCACCATTTCAGGTCAGCTTTATAAAGAACTGTCATATAGATGATTACAAAGACAAGTCTGTGGAACTTAATCAGAGTAGATGGGAGTATTAAACTGATTTAAATGAAATGAGGTTGTGTATAGAAGTACGCACTCTTCGATGAGTTGTAATGCTTGTTCAGCAGATGAAACACTGAAAATGTGACTTTCTGTTTATTTACTGTGTATTACTATATTCTATTTATTGACAATTATTAAACCAATTCAAATGAAAGCCACAGTACCTAAAGACTTCCTGCTCCATTCACTTCCATTCATATGCCTAAAAATGTGAGAAAACTAAACGCACAAGCTCATCCAAAGTAATTTTGTCTTGAACTTTGGCACACGGATGACAAAACTAACCTGTGAATTTGCATAATGAAATACATTTAACCAATAGAGCAGTGGTTCTCAAGTTTTTCCAAGACTCCCCTTTGTCCGAGACAATACTCATTGGCCATCCTATTCTAGGCTGATATGTACCTCTGGTACTTTTGTTTTACAAAAAAAGTAATCTTGAAATATATGATATCAGTTTAATGTTGTAAATCTTTATTCTTAGTGTTTTTAACATTTTAATTAAATATTATTTTAATTTTCCCTCGTCCCACTTGTTGAGAATCACCTCAAATGTGTAGTCACGTTAGCAAAATTTAGGTGAAATTTTGCAGGCAAAAAAGGTCCGCTGTCTATTGTCAAGAGCATAGAGATATATGAAGCACAGCTCACACAGAATTCACAATAACCAACTCGAACATAAGTGAAATCTGTGTGGGGAAATGTGACCGCTCCGTAAACATCACAGATTAACCTCTTGGCTGAATTTAAAGAACACACAAGCGATGTGTCCAATGAGGCTAGTGACATTTCAGTCATCGGGCCCAAAACTCTCTTACTCTAGCCTCGGGCCATGGCACCGTCCTTATTGTCGAACCCTAACACACATGCTCGTTTTCTCTTCTTTTATTGCAATTCAGTGGTTTACCGGTGCGTTTCCAAAGTCGACTGTGAGAACATCTTCTACAAGTTCCACTGAGGTCCATTTGAATAACAGTCAGTGTTTTCTGTGGACATACTCCTGTCCAGCCTGTCAGTAAATCTGATTACACACACTTGTGTAACTCATTCTCCAAGTCAATACACTGCAAAACGGACATGCTTTTAATCCCTCCTCGTTCCACAAGCCAAAATCTGTTTCCTTTTCGTTCATTTGTGTATCTCGACTTGTTTATCTCTTTTTTCCTCTTTCCC